CTTCTCACAGGTAACCAGTGACAGGACGAGGGGGAATGGCCTCAAGTTGTTCCAGGGGAGGTTCAGGTTGGAGATGAGGAGACATTTCTGCTCAGAAAGAGCAGTCAGGCACTGGGACGGGTTGCCCAGGGAGGTGGTGGAGTCACCGTCCCTGGGGGTGTTTAAGGAAAGGTTGGACGTGGTGCCTGGGGACATGGGTGACATTGGTAGTAGGGTGATGGTTGGACCAGATGATCCTGGAGGTCTTCTCCAACCTTAATGATTCTGTGTAGGGGGTGAGGAACAGCTCACGTGGAGTTCTTGAAGGTTTCTGGAGAAGACGCCTTCTGGGGCAGGACTGTCAGGTGTATCAGGTGGTTCCCCCCCATTGTGCCCCAAGAAGCCCACGTTCCCCAGCAGCCCACGTACCTCAGCACCAGCTGCTCCAGGTGCTGGGGGGCCAGGTTCGGGCGCTGCGCTGGTGAGCAGAGCAGTGACCCTGGATGGGCACCGTAGTGCAGTGAGCAAAATGAATCAAGGAACTGCAACATAAATAGCATTTTACTGCACGGGTACTTGCTTATGTTGACTCCATCTGTTGAATTCCCCCTTCCCCCAGTTTATTTCCTTCCTATTTAATAGTTCGCTTGGCTTTAGAATATATGTTCAGACAAAATAAGCATAAGAAGTCTTTGGAGAGGAATTTACTTTACTCTTTCTCCTAATGGCTTCCTTTGCATTTCTAGCCCCTTCTGAATTCTGCCAGTGTTGTTTCCAGTCAGTCACACCACTCTGTCATATCTTTGCTCTACACAATAAGCAGTTCCAGGGCTCTTCTTGCCTGATGCACATTTAAACCATCAGCCTCTGAGCTACCCACTGAGTTATGACTTAGAAACAGATATAGATCTTTGCTTGAAAATGCCAACAGCATAGCTTGCACAAATGTGAGCGTGAAGACATATACAGCAGCAATTTGAAGCAGTAGAGAAGCCTTACTGATGTCCTTGCTGAAGGTTTTAGAGCTTTATTTTTGAAGACAAGTCAAGTCCCCGCAGGGGATGGCTTTCAGGAGTAAGCATTTGGCATTACTCAGGCTGGAAGCCATTCCAGTTGGGTTCCCTAGGACTGGATGAAATCTCAGTATCTCATCCGTGAGGGGGGTGAGGTGGTTTCTGCCATTGCTGCCGACGTCAGGGGCATAGCAAGTGTCCCCCTGGGCATCACGCTTGAAAGAAGTAGATGAACCCTGTGGCATGGGAAAATTTAAGAGCTCCTCATTTATTTCTGGGTTCTTGTGTTGATGTAGAGTGGTTTAGAAATACTTAAGATAGGAGGCGCGACAGAAGAGAGCGACACTGCTTGGCCTGGCAGGTGATGTGACAAAGCACAGGTGTGGGCGTAGAGAAAGGAAATGTGAAAGAAAAGGAAGAGCAGCAATGTATGAAAGAACTGGCCTAGGATAGTGCATTGCTGAGCTTTCCATGGGTGACAGCTCTAAATTCACATGAAGGGGAGGGGAAGTTGACCCGAAGGGCATTCAGGTGTGCAGGCAGCAGTATGGGAGGGCGGGAGGATCATTGTGATTTCTCTGCCAAACGGTGGGGCTGGAGAAGAGATCCCTGCAGCTGAGAGTGGGGGAGTCATAAAGGTGTGAAGTTGGAAGGGGCTGGGTGCACTGCAGGGTGAAAAGTCAGACACATGGAAAGTGTCCACAGCATGAACCCAGCACACGCCTCAAAGAATCTTGGTGTGTGGGGAGGGGATGTCAGGTCCTGCCGGGGAGTTAATCTCCGTGACCATAGTCACACGTGCAAGAAATGGGGAAAGGCTGAGGGGCAGCACAAGCTCCTCTTGGAGCTCCTGTTATCCATGCTTAACACGTATCAGATTAAACACGTTGCTAATTCCTGCTTCTGTCTTGTTCATTATTATCACTTCTATATTATTTTTGATACCATTTATTAGCGGGAAGACTAAGAAAGGAAACATCAAACCTCGATCTTCTCTGCATTTCTGTTGCTGTTGTTTGGACTGCGCCTTCTGCCATGGTTGTGCAAAGTGCTGGTATGTTTTTGGGAGTATTGCTGTATTACAGTCACTGCTCAGGAGAAAGGCAAAGCTAAGGAAATAAAACTGGTGCTTGAAAAGGAAGTGGGCGAGTTTTGTGATGGCCACCGTTGTGGCAACCTGTCTCGGGCTCAGGTAGGCCCTTCTCCGTGGTAGGGCACGTCTCATTCACCGTGCGTGGCTCAGAGAGTGGAGGTCTTAGACATCTAGAAGATCAAGATTATAGCCTTGAATTTGTTTTAATGTTCTGTGAGTAGTTTAAGTCAAAGCAGAGGGAAATTTCCAAGGGCTTATGATCACCTGCACTTCCGAGGAGATGCCACGGCATTTTGTGTAGCTGGAGTTTGCTGAAACAGTGAAGTTTCACGCACGCACAGGCTCTGTTACTCATGACCAGCCAAGGACTGAGATATATGAAGGCCAAGGCACCTGAATCCTTGTTATCAGAATTGACACGCTCATAGCTGGAAGGAATGAAGTGAAGCTCTTGTTGAGGGCTTTTTTATTTATTTATTTTTTAGTTCTTTTTCCCTCCAGAGGCAAACCTTATACTAGGCCCTAGAGTGGAACTATAAAGTGAAAAGTGTCGTCATTTTCAGGATGGATTTTAATTTCCTTTTCTTTAACTCAGAAATTTAGGGAGAGTCAAAGTGATGGTAGAGCTACACATCTCATTTTAACCACAACCCCAGATGTGGTAGGTGTTCATGCGATAAGAGGCTCTGGGCAATTTGGCACTGTGCTGGTGCCCGGGGTGTGCTGCAGGCAGAGCGACGCCGTCACATCAAGGTGAGCATCCCATGTTTGGGGGCACAGCCAGCACACCCTGCACGGCATGTGTGGGGCTGGAGCCCTGCTCCAAGGACAGAGACAGCAGCTGGCTGGTGGTGAAGAGCTGCTCAGCACAGAGCAAAGCCATGGCAAGGTCCCTGCAGTCCAGAGACCAGACGTTGAAGAAGAGCGTGAACATTAACGCCGTGGTTTGCCTCTCTGTCCTCTGATCCTGCCTGTTGCTTGAGGAAGAGGTGCGAAAGGAAGGGTGGAAAGATCCCTAGAACACTTCCCAGTGGTGTTTTTTCTCCGATGGTTCTAACGTGTATGTTAAAGAATCAATAGAAAGAAAGGGCGTTTCGTAGTGTGTCTCTCAGAAGGGGCTTTAGGCAGATGCTGCCTATTGACTTCAAGTATTGAAGATTGCAGTCTGCAGGTGTTCTTTCATAGAAATTGTCTTAAGAAGGTACAGAGAGGAGCTGATCTCCAGGCCTTATTGTACGAGCAGGCATTTTAGGGTGTTCTTGTCTGGTAACAGCATGTTGGTAGCAATTGGCGATTTATTTTTCTTTAAAAATACAGTTGTGGTATTTTGAATAATGCAGAAGCCCCATGTAGCTGGTTTGTAGCCTGTCACAGCTGAGAGTAACCAGAATCTTAAGGTGCCAGTAAGAATTATGTTTCTGTCCACACTGCAGAGCAAGTGCAATATTAAAATGCAAAGTAGTCCTATGGTTGTAGGCAAACACAGCATGCTTTCTGTTGAAATCTATGTACCCGGTAGTATGAATGTACAGCTGCGTACTTTGGGCACTGCAGCTCAGATAGATGAATTTGATATTATCAGATTATTTGGCAGAGCAGTGGCTTTTCTTCATGGGCATTTCTGGCTTGTTTCCTTAATGAAGGAATGTTGTCAAGCGATACTTACGCAATTTTATGTGTCCCCCTTTTATGCTAACCTCAAACATGCATGAAGATACCTTTGAAATGTATCCCAGGCCCACTGCTTTGCCATTTCAGGTTGTGTTTGCCACATCCCCACGAATGTTTATGAACAAAGGCAGTTGACCTTTGCAGAGTGAATGGCTGGGTGCATATGTAATTAGAGAATTAAGAGTGGTATGTCTCGTGTATTTACCTCAGGTTGTGGAGCCCTATTACTGAGTGCCTGGTTGTGATTTGAATACCGCTGCAATAAATAAAATTCAAAACCACACCGAAGTTGTTTTCTGAGAGACCTAGTGAATTCACTGCAGGAGAGAGGCTTGGAGCAAACTAATATTTATACAGCCTGTGCTCCCTGGGGACGGAGGAGCAGGAGTGCTGCGAGAGCTGAATTCTTCTGCCTGTTTGCTGGATGTCCAGTGTGCGAGCTCTTACGAAGAGCAAACCCCTCCGTTACCTTGTGCTTTTTATTTTTGTACATCCCACCCTTCCCTCCTAATTTCCTCTTAAAATGTGTGTTGAAGAAACTTGCAGCATTGCGTGTCAGCAGGAGGCCGGCTTCGGAGCGTGCCTCTGGCAGTGCACGCAAGCAGCCCTCTGCCCCTCCCTTCTCGCTCGTGCTGGCAGGACACCAAAGAGCTGTGGCAAAGGATCCGAAGAAAGGAGTAGAGCCTGGCGGTTTGGAGAGGAGGTGGGCAGAGAAGGGACCCTCAGCACCGGCACCAAGTCCCTGGTACTCACTAGGCTGAGTGGAAAGATGAGATGCCACGGTCACACGTGGTGCAAAACGGCCCTGCCTGGCCCTGCTCTGCCCTGAGCCACGGGAAACCACCCCTGTGCCTGATCATCCCCCCAAGCACCAAGGGGGGCACCACTTCATGGCAGCTGAGCGGCCCTTGGACAGCTCTGCTGGAAGCGGGGTGACAGTTTCAGTGAAGCCTCCAAGCAGATTTAATTTCCCGTAGCCTAAACTGGATTTGGAATAAAAGCAGGAAGGTTTGGTGATGAGCCACAACCTGTGCCTTCCCTGGTTTTATTCCTTGTTGGCAGACCGATGCTTCAGCACCAAATAATTCTAGCAGAAATGTGTTAGGTGTTTTTTATTCTTTTAAGAAAAGGAATCATTGCTTTGTTTGAGATTTGCATTTGTGCATTCCCCTGCTTGCTGGGCTGCCATTGCAAACAGACACGAGCTCCTCGCTGCAGCTTGACTGACTGGCAGTGCTGATGCATAGAGAAGAAAAACTAGATAATTTCAATTCCTTCTGCGTCCTAACACAAAGGATGGCTTTATCACTTACAGAGAGATCTGAAAACAGGTAAAGATTAACATTGAATTAATAGATGTAACTGCAAAAAATCAGGACGTAATAAAAGACAAAACATCCAAAGCCATAGTGATAACTCTTTTTTTTTTTTTTTAATTCATAGCATAGGGGTGGGAAGAGATGAAAGAAACATTATCCAAGCCTCCTTTTGCCATCAACCCCTCTCGAATAAAGAATGACTGGAAGAGCTGCTCTGCAGCAAATGGTATAGCTTGTGTGCATCGGCGTGAATTTAAATTCCAGGGCTTATTTGTAGGATTCAGCATTTTTTATAACAGCTACATGCAAAGAGGAAAGAAAGTAAAAGAAGTTAGACATTTGCCCACTTATGCCTGAGCAGAAACTTTCTTCACCCAGCTAGAAAAATACAGCTTTAGTTAAATACATACAGATCCCTATTCCCTCTTGAGGACCCCAAGGGCTGAAAGTTTCTTCTCGTCCCATTCCTGTTAATAATGGTCATCCTTTCTGTGAGAAAAGCAGAGAGTGGAGATTATAAAACAGATCATCTTTTGAAGGAGTTCAGATTCTGGAGTTGTTGCAAGTGAGTAAAAGGTGCTGCTTAAACATGGAATGTGTGGTGCATGTGTGGTTTAATTCAAGCACCACAACTGTTTGGAACCAGGAGAAGTGGCTGAAATTTAAAATACGTAAAAAGATATATGTAAGGGTCTGAGTCCCCTGTGTAGGGAACAGAGAGCAGGTGTAATAGTAAAATTTCTGCCTAATCTGCTAGTGCATATTTAAGAGAAAGTCACCAATATGTCATTGCTTCCTGTCCTCAGCCTGTTTCATGCAGATGCCCATGGATATCTTCTCTCTCTGCTGGTACAGTTGCAGCATCCAGAAAATCACTTGCTGCTCTCGGGAGTCCTTAGAAGGCTGTTTCCTGTATAGATCAGGCTATTAAGGTACGAGGGTTCCTGCTATCCTTCCTTGCTCCCACAACACCGAATCAATGGAAAAGCAATGAGAAGATATTGTGCCACTTTTCAGTCTCTCCTTTTTTTCTTTCCTCCCCCTGTCAAGAAATTCTACACAGGGAAAAAATTACCCAGGGCTGGCCTTCCAAGCTGTGGTTCAAAAGTGATTTTGTTTTGTAGGTACAACCTCATGGGTTGAGGAATCCCCACTGTAAGGTCCTGGCTGGGCAGGGCATCCCAGAGTGCCCACCAGTCCCCGCTGGTCCCCACAGACAGCTGGAGCACACCACAGGGCACTTCCCTTCACTTGCTGGCTTTCCCTGGACAAGTTCCCTCTAGAGCTCTTGTTCTCCCTTGCCTTCCATCAGCCCGTGGTTTTGGTGATCTCCCAGTGAAGAAATTTTAATATTGGCTTCATCTGCTTCTTTCAGACAGCGGGTTAGTAATGCCGAGCTCCAGCAGAAACGGTTTTGTGCTTTGCAGCTCCTGCTCCAAGCTGTGCTGCCCGTCCTTGGACGTGGGCATCCCCACTCTGTTATGCAGGAGCTGCTGTGCACTGGATGAACAATCTGGGAGATGGGGCATGTCTGGGGGGTTTGCCTTGATTTGGAATTAGGTTGGTTCATCATCCTGCCCACAGCCCGTTGTGACAAGCTGTGGCTCAGCTGAACTGCCTGGGAACTTAGGGGGACGACTGGAGGCTCCTTGAGCTGGTACTGCTCTGTAAAGCTGCTCTTTGCTCCAACCATGGCATGGACCAGCAGGGCTAGAAAACTTTCTGAAACTCTGGGTTTGTTGATGATTACCTCTGCAGTATTGTAGCATAGAGCTAGAATTCCAGACTTTCTAAATCATCACCATCTAAATTTAGTAGAAATTGGTGCCTTTAACCCTGCTTGGCTTTCATTTTAGAGATCGTCTTCAACTCTGAGACTTCAGAAAAGGTATAGCTTATGGTTTCCAATTTTAGATGTAAGATTTCATTTATTTTTAAGGCTCAGAAGGAGAAATTCAAAGGTTAGTGGTTGATTGATATATCAGATGTTGCTTGGTTTGTATCACTTTTTTGAGTATCTGCTCTTCATTTTTGCATTTCCCTTTCTCTGCTTCTCCAGGTGTCATCTTGACATGAGTACATTTGAGCTTGGCACTATGGAGCATAGGAAACTTGCTGGTAGAGTTGGAGAAGAGAAGCTGCAGTGTGCTATGTATCAAAATGCTTTGTAAAAGCTCTTCAAAGAGTGAGAATTGAGTGAAATAATTTTCATAAGCACTCAGTACAGACATGAAACCATCTCTGCACACTGTGCAAGCACAGGTACAAAGCTTATAGTGCAGTTAACATTAGTAAAGGCAATGGTTATGTCTAATTAATGGCACGGGAAAAGTGAGAGGATTTTTGCAGTGTTCTGCTCAGAAGTGACACTAATCCAGTAATATCCAAGCAGTAAGCCCCGTAATGCTTTTCTGAATAGCCTGGTTAATCCTGAGGGTGTTTGGGCTTTATTGTTGCACACGTAATTTAATGAACTTTTGAAGAGACCTCTAGGCAACAGCCCAAACTCAGAAGGGCAGAGAGGAAAATGCTGATAGACAGTCCTACACTGAACTAGAACACAGTGGCTGTGAAGGGAAAGCTGCTGAATGGGCTGCTGGCTGAAAGAAGTAAAGCAAGTGCTCTTGGACTTGCTAATGGGCTCTTTGTCCAAACTGGAGCCACCTCTTTTTTTTAGGAGGTTACTTGTGTTGGAAATGAGGCCATCAGCCAGGCTGGGGGAGGAAGGAAGAGGCAGATGGTGAGTGATCTCCAAGGGGTGTGCTCCGGGTGCACAACACAGCTGTGGAAGAAGTAGGCTGGCTGTGAGGACACTGAACTCGGCGAGAGCTCCTTGCAGTGCTCAAAATCGGGCATCGTGCTGGGGCCACCACGCCTGCATAGCGAAGCTGAGGGGACCCCAGGGCAGTCGTGGTGCTGAGGCTCCTGCCCGCCCTGCTCAGGCAGCTCGGTGCCTCCTGCAGTCACTCTGCACTTCCCAAAAGCACAAAAACGGATGCTCAGCAGAGCAACTCTTATCCTGTTCCCGGCCTAGAAGAGAGGAGAAGCCTCTCGTTCTGTCCAGTGGTCTCCCAGTGCTTCCCCAGCATTTTGTGAGGGGTTGCAGGCCTTCCCTGCTGTGCTGTCGTGTCTGCTTTGTGGAAGCAGCGAAGGAGAATAAGCTTTTTTGCCCAATGATGCAGGATTGCCTCAGTTGGAGTCAATACAGAAACTACAGTTTGTGACCTCCTTCCTCCAACCTTTAAATCATGCTTTTTCCTATAGCCAAAGAGATGCCTGTGACATCGTTTGAGCCTTGGGAAACGTGGCAATCGGATGGAGAAGCAATCTCATTTTCCTGGGCTGATTCACAGGTCCCTAATGACAGGTTAGGTGTTAATACTTGTTTTCAGCAATTATCGTGAGGTTGTGTTTTGACTGGGACCTGATAGCAAGCATGAGTGAGAAGAGCTCCAGGCTAAAGCCTAATAGTGCAGAAGTGGCTGGTTTTGTTTGCCTGTTTGAAAACAGTTCCTGCACAGTTGTAGTCCTTTTCTAAGGTGAACAGATCAGAGGTGATTGCTCTTCCCTTGTTTTTTATTTCTTTTTCAATGCTTTTGATGATGTTTTATATGGCATCGGTTTTGTTGCTGCTCCATCATTACGATTCTGTATGAAGTACCAAACTCAGATCACAGCCGTATTGTGTGGGATCCATATAAATGTGCAGTAAAGAGCTTCTCACCAAGCGTTATGGGTGTCTGGAGAGACGAGACTGAGAATGGGCAGAGAAGAAAAGGCATGATTCAGTGATGTGCTGCCACTGCACAAAAGCTCGGCTGCAGAGTCTGGTGCAGCACAGTCCTTCAAATGGGAAGGGACATGTTCCTTGTGTATGAGGTTCCAGGCTCAGGAAAGATGAGCTCTTCTCTCTCTTCTAGAGATTAACACCTTTAAAATAACCTGGCCGTATATGTGACAGAGCGAGGTCACTGACCTGCGTAGTCAAAGGTCTCGTTCTGACCCTGATGTGGTGAGCTAGTCTGCGTAGTACTTAAGAAGCACGTTCAGAGTCAGCATGGAAGTTCGTATTGTTTTGAATCTCACTGCACTTTAAGGATTTGCATCACACCTAGAAGACCTTTCTCCTAGCACCTAGGGAGGCAGGTGGGAGGGTAATTGCCCTGAGCAGAGAGAACTGAGTGAGAGGACCAGAGATGCTTTTCTGTGGAAGAAAATCTCATGCAGCCTCTCAGGGCTTTAACCCTTAGGCATGCATGGGTGTGTTTAATTGTCCTTGGTCCACTGAAAGGAGATGTCCTGAAAGGCATCCTTAAGGCAAAAGCTGGGAGGCAACTGAGGGCAACTGAGCATAAGAAAACTGGTCATAAAGAGGAAATCACTTTTGCTCCAGACAGGAATTAATCCTGAATTGAAGACAGGATTACTTTCCCTAGCTTAGGGCAATTTTTTCTTGATCTGAGTGGTTGTGTCCTGAGGCTGCATCTTCTCCCAGCACATTTTTTTTCCCTCCAAAAGGGAGATGGGATTTTCACAGGATACTTATTTTCATGTTCTTGTGGACCTTGTAGTCTATAAACCAAAGCTATGGGAAGGAGGCTCTGCCTCCCGCCTGAACTTCCCTTTCTTTTTTACGGTTATGGTACACTCATTTTTTCCTACTTGCTGAACAAGTTCCTGTTTCATCCAGAAAGCAGGAGGCCCCAGGTCTGCTCTGCTCCATCTCCAACTGGCTGCACAAGGTTTCTGCTTTGCTTGCAGGAGTTCCCTTTACAAACCTTTTTCTCCATCTGACTGCAGTGCAAGTGCTGCAAACAAGTAGCAAAAACCTGCAGTTCTGCGTCCAGAGAGAGATGAAATGGGTCTGTATCCATCTCAGCTTCAAAATCTCTCCTCACTACCACTCAGGGTCCATCCAGCTTCAAGAGACCTTCTGTATTCTTCTAGGAAGTGGGGCAGTTCAGAGCTGGTAAAAGTCCTGTGATCGGTTGGCATCCTTTGGCTGGAGAATGCGCTCTGAGTAGCACTTGTCGTCATCTTTAAACTCGAAGGCTAATTGCATGTAGGTACCAAATTAAAGCCAAATGATGCAAAGTGATGACGTTGCTTTCTCCTGTTTCTTTACAGCTCCTGTATGACAACCCAAAAGCTCGTCAGGAAGTAGAGTATCACTGGCGGGCCTCAGGGTGTCCGCATATTGTCCACATCCTGGATGTTTATGAGAACATACATCATGGAAAGAGATGCCTCCTCATTGTCATGGAATGGTATGGACCAGCAGCAGCCCCCCACCAAGCATTGCTCTTTGAGGGGGTGGAGGGAGTAGGGAGAATATGTTGGCTTACGTAAGAATGAAGAGAGCTTCCTCAGCAGCACAAGTTTAGTTTGCACAGCAAACCTTTTGTTGTCTTTATAGAACTGGTAGGTAAATGTATCGCTGCTCCACTCAACTTGCATAATGGAAGAACGGGGAACCTTAAGCATAATAT